CTTTGTGGTTTAGTTGTTCCTTACTCATGTTTTATTTATTCCCTTTTCAGTAAATATCTTAAAAATACTATAGTTCTAATATTTAATAGGCAAAATTATGAAAGCAATAAACAAAACCTTGTTTGCAGGGTCTGGAGGAGAAAGATGAGTAGGTCGAACACACAGGATTGTTAGGCAGTGAAACTATCCTTCATGGTACTATAGTGGTGGGTACATATCACTATACATTGGCCAAAACTCATCAAGAGGGACTTCTAATGTCTACTAGGAAGTCTGACAATATGTCAGCATAGGTGTGAATGTAGCAGACAGACCACTCTAGTGTGGGAGGGTCAGCGGGAAATTGGGGATGGGGGAGCAGGAGGTGTATGGGAGCACTGTGCTTTCTGCTTACCTAAAACTGCTTTAAAAGTCTTTTGAAGCTAGCTGTGGTGATGTTCACACCTGGAATCTCAGTAACTTGGGAGGTAAAGGCAGGAGAATGAGGAATTCAAGACCATCCTGGATCAAATAAAAAATTCTAAGCCAGCCTGATCTACATAGCAAGACTCCCTCAAAACAAACAAAATGTCACTCAGGCTAACTTGAGTCTGGGTTCCCCAGCCAGTCACTTCATAGCTGGATCAGAGTAAACTCTTTTCCTATTTCTTAAAGCAGGTTTGGTATTTTACATGGACAGTGACAAGAGATGTAAATTGAATAATAAAATATTTAGGTAAATATTTCTCAAGAAATGTGAGATTATTTAACAATAAGAGGCTGTTTAGTATAAAATATTTTTGGTGCTTATCACTCAGGTTGTAAAACTTTCAATTTGAGAAATAAATTAAACATAGAAGATGAAAATAAAGTACAAAGATACCGTAGTCAGTGCTAGTGGTTCAAGTTTACAATCCTAGCTGCTCTGGAGTCTGAGATCTGAGAATCATGGTTCAAGGCCAGTCCAGGCAGACAAATCTGGAGACTCTAACCTCCAATTAACCAGCATAGCCAGAACTAGAGGCATGGCTCAAGGTAGACTGCCAGCTTGTAGCAATAAAGCCAAGTGAGAGTTCCTGAGTTCAAGCCTCAGTATAATATATACATGCACACACTCACCTCTCTCTTTCTCTCTCTCTCTCTCTCTCTCTCTCTCACACACACACACACACACACACAAAGGGATTGGACTGGTGGGTTCATATTCTTACTACTGGAATTTTAATAAAAGATGAGAGTTTTGGTTTTACTACTGAAGTTTTAATCTCCTAATGTGACAAGGAGACTTGTTTTAGTATTAGCATATACTGGTAAGTTTTCTCTCCTGGGATATCCTTCAGTAAATTGAGTACTTACAATCAGAGAAAGTTTGTTCCCTATACTAAAGGAAGGGAGAGCCATACAAGACAGTACTTTGTGCAATTCCTGTCTGTTGTCTGGTATTTATTTATTTTTAATTCTTTTGCCAGTCCTGGGGTTTGAACTCAGGGCCTGGGCACTGTACCTGAGCTTCTTTTGCTCAAGGTTACCATTTGAACCACAGCACCACTTCCGGCTTTTTCTGCTTATGTGCTATTGAGGAACCGAATCCAGGGCTTCATGCATGCTAGGTAAGCACTCTGCTACTAAGCCATCTTCCCAGCCCTTACTTGGTATTTAAGTGGTACTACCTCCCCACCTGATTCTGAGGCTCATTTGGTAGATGATTGCAATTGTTTTCCAGCTCTTTCTGAGATCCAGGCCTATATATTTGGCCTTACTCTTGACATCTTTCCTTAGGCAAGTAAAAGGACATCAAATTTAATTTGTTCAAAGTTAGGACTAAGCGTGTGGATCAAGTAGCAAGGCACATGCCATTCAAATGTGAAGCCCTGAGTTCAATCCCCAGTACCACCAAAGTTGAACTTACAACTCTCTATCTCTAGCCCATTCCTACTCTAATTTCCCTGACTTGAGGAAAGAATAGAAACTCTTTAAGTATCCATGAAATTAGGGTATCTTTTTTGTTTTTGTTTTGCTTTTGTATTTTGACAGTCATGGGGCTTGAACTCTGGGCCTGGGCGCTGTCCCTCAGCTTTTCAGCACAAGGTTAATACTCTACCACTTGAGCCACAGGGCTACTTCCGGTTTTCTGATAGTTTATTGGAGATAAGAGTCTCATGGACTTTCCTTCCTGGGCTGGCTTTGAACCTCGATCCTCAGATCTAAGTCTCCTGAGTAGCTAGGATTACAGGCATGAGCCCCAGGTGCCTGGCAAACTAAGAAATCTATTGTCTAGAACAGAGGTTGGCCAACTACAACGTGCCTCTTTTTTTGTCGATCATGGGGCTTGAACTCTGAGCCTAGGTGCTGTCCCTGAGCTCTTCAGCTCAAGAAGAGGCCTATTGAGCCACAGCGCCACTTCTGGTTTTCTAGTTTTCTCACAGACTTTCCTGCCCGGACTGGGTTGAAGCTCAATCCTCAGATCTCAGCCTCCTGAGTAGCTAGGATTATGGGTGTACAGCACCAGTGCTTGGCTGCCATTTGTTTTTATAAAAACAAAAAACTGCCTGGTGCAGGTGGCTCATGCCTGTAATCCTAGTTATTCAGGACGCTGAGATCTGAGGATCATGGCTCAAAGCCAGTATGGGCTGGAAAGTCCATGAGACTCTTTTCTCCAATAAACCACCAGAAAACTGGAAGTGGTGCTGTGGCTCAAGTGATAGGTAGAGTGTTCACCTTGAACTGAAGAGCTGAGGGACAGCACCCATGCCCAGAATTCAAGCCCCACAACTACAAAAACAAACAAACCAACAAAAACTCATTAGAACCCAAGTACATCCATTTGTTAACTGTTAATGCCATTTGCACAACAGCGGAGCTGAGTAGTTGGGACTGATTGCATGACTTGCAAAGCCTAAACATCTGGTTCCTACCAGAAAAGGTTGGCAGAAGAAAAGTGTACAGATTCCTACCCTGGGCAGTACGTCAGAGCCGGGGGTGTGCAGGAGGGGTCACCCCAGGCATTCTGCTTATGTTAGTCTGGAGTGGAATCCTAATTTCTTCAGACGGGCGCGGGGTATAGCTCAGTGTACAGCATTTGCTCACTATGTATGGGGCTTTGGGTTTGATCCCCAGCTGTAGAGGTGGGAAAAAGGGTGGAGAGGAGAGTTAAATTTCACAGCTGAAAAGGAAAGGAGTTAATTCATAGTTTGAAATTACTGATCTACTCCAGTTTCCATTTTTACAGAAAATTAAGTCATGTTTGGTTCTGTTCCTTTTTTTCTTTCTGAGTTGTGGGGCTTGAACTTTGGGCCTGGGCGCTGTCCCTGAGCTCTTCAGCTCAAGGTTAGTGTCCTATCACTTGAGCAAAGCGCCACTTCCAGTTTTCTGGTGGTTTATAGGGGATAAATCTCACGGACTTCCTTGCCTGGGCTGGCTTTGAACCATGATCCTCAGATCTCAGCCTCCTGAGTAACTAGGATTACAGGCATGAGCTACCAGCTCCTGGCTCTGTTCCCTTTTTTGTAATAACAACAATTACTATCTCTAACTCCACCTCCACTGTCTCATTTGATCCTTAGAATACCTGAGGTCAAATACCTGCTGCCCCTACTTTAGAGGAAAGAACTGAGACTCAGAATTTAGTCCTTTCTCCTACTTTGTAGAAAGAGCTAAGATTTTCGGGTCTTTTAATCCAAGTCCATTGGCTGATTATGTTAACTGTAAAAACGAAAAGACTCAGATTTTACTTTGGGGTATGGAATCCTGTATGCTTTCAGTGTCTCTAGATATGTGACTAGACCTACTGTCCCTAGGGAAGATGCGGCAATGCGGCTGTGCTCTGGGAAGGCATATCCCTCCGGGTCATTGTAAGAGCAGAGTGAGGACAAAGCCTGTAAGCTGATCTCTAACCCCTGTGCCTTCACTTCGTCCACAGTAAGTGTATGTTTACCTGTCCAAATATGAGGATGATACATGCAACTGTAAAAGTTTCATCTTGAAAGACCACTGACCTAGCTCAGACATTTGCCCATTGTATTAATCCAAGATGTCATTGTCACCCCACCCCCAAATTCCTTTCATTTCTTATGCTATCTGCCAGTTCTTCCCTACTGGTTTAAATGAATTTCAAAATAAATCTCTTAGAGCATCCTTTTTGAGAAATGAAAGAATTACTTTTAGCAAGCCAGAATTCCTACATCAGCCAGAGTCAATGAGTTGCTCATGACCACCTCCTATCTGCCTTGTGCACGCTGCATAAGCCATTCCAGGAAAGCAACAGTCTTGTCCACTCTCTAGCTGGGACACAGCACTTCTCCCACTGAGGATGTTTGCCTTTAGCCCAACCCAAATGCTCTTAATCTTTCTGTGCTCTTACACTTGCCTCTGGACAGAAGTGAAACATTAGTAATGGGCAAGGGAGGTCAGAGAATACAACACTGTTGCATTTCTTCCTTCTTTCAGAGATGAATGAACTTTAATTCCTCTCTCCTGTCAGAACATACTCAGCTTTTTATTCCATGATCTTATCTGCACCTTTTACAAGAAGAGGAATGACCAACTGACTAGTGAGGATCCAGAACATTCAATAGATTAAGCCCAAGCATAAGAGGTGGTGCTGTAGTTAATAATGTCTTCCCTAGTAAGTCAGGGTCTGTTCTCAAAGCGAGCAGGAAACTGCAAGTGAAGGCAGCAGGAAGACTCCACTGTGAGTCTGTTTTCAGTTCCAAGAATGACAGGGACACAGAGTCACACCCATGGCATGTCAACCCAATTCAACAGTTATTTGCGGTGGCAATAGTGACTCCCACAGCCTAACCACCAGAAGTGCCCCAGTGCTTCAGAAAAGCAGTCTCCCAACTTGCTATTGTTTTTTTAAGGGGTAGCCAAGCACTCTGCCACTGAGCTACATCCCCAACCCAGTTTCTAATCTTAACCTAAGAGGCTATGACCTTAAATCAACATTAGAGATATTTTCATTTTCTGATTTTATCGCATATCACATAGCACACTTTACTAATTTTCAAAGCATCTGGTTCTCTTTTTACATATATATATTCACAAAAGCTTTTAAACATAAATATCAAGTTGGGAAAATCAGATAAGCAGATAAACTTAGGAAGCCAAACACAGATGAAAAGTCCAGTCGCCAGAATTTACAAATGATCATCTGGACTCCGTTTGCCATTCAACTGGACATATCATCCCAAACAGCCTGCATCACATGGTCCGTAGTTCTTCCTTCAAGTTCTGGAGCAATCAATAGCCATACTTATCATTAAGATGGGTTCTGCCATCTCCACTTTGACCTAGATCACAGTATTTAAAAGGAAAGATGGTTACTCTCTCAAAGTCTAGAGGGAATAGATATCTATACATCAATAAGCCAAAGTAAAACAAGTAAGGAAGTTTCTTCCTGTGACAGAATTTTTACTTTTCGTGTATACTTTCAGAATCTAGTTCATGTCACGTCAACACTAACATTTATGAGCAGATTATAGAGGGGCTGGGAAAGAGAAACAGGCTCTGTGGGGTGGTAAGTTCTAGAGGGAGGGGGCTAGCAAGGCGGATGGCAGAGGATGAAGATGGTGGAAGTAGATGGTTTGCATCTATGAAAACAGAACAAGGAAATCCATTTTGGGGTAGGAATAAAGCAACATGTGAAGAACATGGAGATAACAAGTATCTTGTGCACGGACATTAAACGTGTCTGTATGCCCAGCTCATACTTAGCTACTGAGGAGGCTAAGATCAGAGGATCTAGGTTCAAAGCCAGCATAGGTAAAAAAGTCTGTGGGCATAAAGTGGGGCTGGAGGTGGGGTTCAAACCATGCTATCTGAGCAACCAAAGCCAAGCAAGCACAAGGCCATGAGTTCAAGCCCCTACCAGCAAAAAAAACAAAACAACAGGGTATGTATGAACACAAAACCTGTGCAATCTTTATAGAAAGCAATTTAGACTATCTTAAAATGGTCATAGATTTGATCCAGTATATTAACTTCTATTAGTTCTTTTCTACAGATGCACCTCAATGCTTCATACATACATACAAATAACTATATATATATATTACTACACATAGTACACACATTTATAGTATATAGTATAGATATATATTATATATTACAGCATATAATATATATACATATAAATGCATACTTTCTGTATATATAGTACAAAATTAAAGTTAAGAGGTTGTTTATTACAGTATTGCTTGCAATGGCAAAAGACTGGGAACCAACCAGGCATTGGAGGCTCAACCCTGTAATCCTAGCTACTCAGGGAACTGAAATCTGAGGATCACAATTCAAAGCCAGACCAGATAGTAAAAGTAAAGTCTGGAGATTCTTATCTCCAATTAACTACTAAATAACTAGAAAAGGAGCTGTGGCTCAAAGTGGTAGCCTTGAGCAAAAAACAGCTCAGGGATAGTACGTAGGTTCTGAATTCAAGTCCACAACTGACAAAAAAGCAAAGAAAGAAAAGAAAACACAGGCTGGGAATGTGGCTTAGTGTAGAGTACTTGCCTAGCATGCATGAAACTCTTGAGTTCAATTCCCCAATACCACATTCACAGAAAAAACCAGAAGTGGTGCTGAGGTAGAGTGCTAGCCTTGAGCAAAAAAAGCTCAGGGACAGTTCCCAGGCCCTGAGTTCAAGCCCCAGGACTGGCAAAAAGAAAAGGAAAGAAAAGAAAACACAGCTGTCTAAAATCTATTTAGGTAGGTAAAAGTATATACCCTATACTGCCACTGTGTTGAGCATGATGGTATACCTCTTATTACCCCAGCACTTTGTTGGGTATGATGGTATATCCTTTATAATACCAGCACTTCGGACCTGAGGCAGGAGTATTATGATTTTTAAACTACATAGCAAGACCCTGTTTCAAAAAACAGGACTAAAGACATGGTTTAAGTGTCAGAAACCAGCCATGATGAAGAAGCTGAAAGAGAGAGCTCAAGGTTCTAAACTGAAGGCCCAGAACTGGTAAAAAACAAAAACAAGACCACCAAAGGACTGAGGCATAGCTCAAATGGTAGAGTTTAAGTTCAAGTGGTAGTGACCATGAGTTCAAACCCCAGAAACACAAGAACAGTAACAAAACTACGCAGTCATTTAAAAATAAACAAACAAAAGAAGGAATTTATACATAGTCTTGAAAAGATCTCAAGGAGTAGAAATGTTCCTATCTATTTAAAGAAAGTGGAAAAAGGTATTTTATTGCCTATATAGGCACTTTACATAATATATAAAAATAAGAAAAGCCAGGGGCTGGGAATGTGGCTTAGTGGTAAGAGTGCTTGCCTAACATGCACGAAACCCTGGGTTTCATTCCCCAGTACCACATAAACAGAAAAAGCCAGAAGAGGCACTGTGGCTCAAGTGGTAGAGTACTAGCCTTGAGCAAAAGAAGCTCAAGGACAGTGTCCAGGCCTCAAGTTCATGCCCCAGGACTGGCAAAAAAACAAAAAAAATTGGGCACTAGTGGCTCACACCTGTAATCCTAGCTACTAGGAGGCTGAGATCTGAGGATTACGGTTCAAAGTCAGGCCAGGAAGGAAAGTCTGTAAGACTCTTATCTCCAATTAACCACTAGAAAACTAGACATGGCTCAGTGGCTTGAAGTGATCCAGTGCTACCCTTGAGCAATAAGAGGACTCAAGGATAGTGCCCAGTCCCTTGAGTTTAAGCCCCATTACAAAACAAAACAAAACAAAACAAAAAAAAGAAAGAAAACAACATTTGGCTATCTGTAGAGAAAAGATTAGCAGAGGAATAGCTGAAGAGTTTTTCCTTCTGTTAAAGAAAATATAAAATTCATGGAAAAATGGAAAAATATATTGGACCCTCATCCAGCTTTAATAACCAGCCATATGTCACCAACGCTGTGGCAACTATTTCCTGCCCCCTAGCCTCTCTTATCCTCTACCACTGGATTACTTCAAGGTAATCTCATAAGCCATTCTATCTGCATACATAAAGACTTTATTTGCTACATCTTGTAACATTTTTATTGCTGGTTTTTTGTTTGTTTTTGTTGGTCATGGGGCTTGAACTTAGGGCCTGAGCACTGTCCCTGAGCTCTTCTGCTCAAGGCTAGCACTCTACCACTTTCAACCACAGTGCCACTTCTGGTTCTCAAGTAGTTAGTTGGACATAAGAGTCTCATAGGGACTTTTCTGCCTGGGCTGGCTTCAAACCGCCATTCTCAGAGCTCAGCTTCCTGAGCAAATAGGATTACAGGCAGGAGCCACCAGTGCCTGGCTTTGTTTTGTTTTTTGAAACAGGGTCTCCTATATAGTCAAGCCTATCCTTAAACTCTCAATCCAAAGTAAGATGCTGCCTCAGCCTTCCAAGTGCTGGAATTATAGCACTGTGCCCAGCTTCTCTTGTAACTTTCTTAATTTGAACATTAATATTTATTACTTATTCCAAAATATAAAGAAATCTTAGAGGAAAAGAAAAGTCAAAATAATAAATACATACCTTCTGGTGGCATCCACACACAGTAGTCTGGATCATCTTCAGGATATTTGGAAGAAAGTACAGGTGGAAACTGCAAAGAAGAGATGGATTATTTCTCTCTCTCTCTACATATATGTAATAAATATAATATATAATTATATAACCATATATCTATATATATCTGTCATATAATCATATGTCTATTACATAGATATAGTTACATATAACCATATACATATATTATATGTATGGTTACTGCTATCCTGATAATGGTGGCTCAGTGTGTCTCTACTGTACCAAAAAGGCGGTTTATTTTGAATAGTTGGTTTTTGGAATATGGAATTTGGGTACATGTATGGAATGCTTATCTGATCGACCCTCAGTAAAATTCTTTGGCACTGAGACTCTTAATGAGCTTCTCCAGGCAGCAACACTTCATACTTGTCATGGAACTTAAGCATATCCTGTGTGTCTCAAATGCAAAAGGATCTTTCAAATTTGCAACTAGTTTTCACTAAATTTTGCCCCAGGGGCCTCTTCTGGTTGTGCCTGGTATCCTTTTGCTGTAGTGAATCACAGCCATAGTTCAATCCCGAGTACCATGAGTTCTCCTCTGAATTACCTCGTGATGGTCTTGGGGGCCTCCTGACACACCTGAGCACTCCCACTTCTGGGAACTTGCCATATCCACACAAAATCATGTACACATAAGTTTTCATTACAGCACTGATCTAATGAATGACTAGAAGCAATCCAAGTGTATCTATACATACGTGGTTAAACAGGGTATATCTGTGCAATAAAAAGCACCTTATAGATTGATATAAAATGGTTTCCATGCCAGGGTAAAAAAATAGGATGTATGATGGAGTGCATTAATTATACCTTTTGTGTAACAAGAGAAGGAAAATAAGAATAAAATGTCAAAATTTATTTTTATAATATACTAGATATGAAGAAAAAATTGCATATTAAGAGGTTTTTGTAGCCAGGCACTGGTGGCTTATACCTGTAATTCTAGCTACTCAGGAGGCTGAGTTCTGAGAATCATGGTTTGAAGACATTCCAGGCAGGAAAGTTTGTGAGACTATTATCAGTATTGAACAACCAGAAAAGCCAGAAATGGAGCTGTGACTCAAGTAGAGTGCTAGTCAGGGATAGTGCTTGGGCCCTCAGTTCAAGACACACACACACACACACACACACACACACACAGACACACACACACACACAGACACACACACACACACACGAGCAACTATAAGGAATAGGGTGAATGGAATAATAGAAATTTTAAAAATAAAAATCAGAGTGCAGATTTCTAGGAGATTAGGCTAAAGTTGCTGAGAACTCTAAGTCTCCAAAGACTCATTCTTCAGGATATGGTTTATAATAAGTGGATTCATTTTTAGTTTCTGAGAAGTGAAGTACTTACTTTGTATGAACCTGGCACTTTCTTTTTCTTCAATTCATCTCTGCTTTTCTCATATTCTTTTTCTGATGCTAATTTAAGAAGAAGAAAAAAAGGAATGAAAATAGCTATTTTCAGAAAAAGTAATATGAAAGGAAAAAGTTCCCCTTAAAGTGGACTTCTGTGCCCAGGCTGGCTTTGAATGGTGATCCTTAGATCTCAGCCTCCTGAGTAGCTAAGATTAGTCATGAGCCACCAGCATCCAGCTTTCAATCAATTTATTTTAATAGGTTTAGGATAACTTCCATGGTAGGACACAATGCTTTCTGGGAGATAGAGAATTAAGGAAGGTTTTGTATGACCAGAGGCACATTAAGACATTAAGTGCTTTGTAGAGCAGAGAGAGGGAACTCTAGAAGGTAGAAAAGTACAAGAAAGGCAAACAGTGGCACCAAACACAAACTTCTTACACTTCGCAAATTTGTTCAAGGATCTATTGACTGCTTCTACCTGGTGTCCGCGTGGCCCTTTGTTGTACTACCTTATGGGACAGAAGCCAACGACTCCATATGAAACCAAGTGGCACCCACATGAAGAGCAGCAACACAGTCTGCTCCACAGCTTACCAGAGGGTTCCTCATGTGATGAAGTTATTTCACTAGTCTCTTGTTCGTTTTCATTCTGTTCCACTTGGCTGAATTGAGAGCTGTGCTCTATAAAAAGCAGCACCAAAGCATGTTGTTACTTATTTCATGATAGAATCCATGAATACAAAAACAGAAGAGAAGCTATGTACATATATAATCACCAGTTTCAGCTAATCTTCAACTAATCTTAGTAGGTTTCCAATAAAAGTCTCTTAGAGAACCACTTAAAAATTTTCTGAACTTACTGAAAGCCTTAAAAGTATACATACTTCTTGGTGTAAAAATTCTTTTTTCAGGAATATACTTTTAAATACTCAGAGCTAAGCACTGAGATTTATTATTTACACAATGTGTTTTCACAATATGCTTTCATAATAGCAATGTGTTTTCACAATACCAAAAATTATCTAACTTACATGATTAGTTTCACAATACCAAAAATTATTTAACTTACATGGTTAGTAAATGAAAGCTAAAAAATGGCACATGCATGCAATGGCTCACTATATTCCTTAGTTAAAAATTTTCTTTTTTAATGTAAGACAAACAACAGGCTAAAAAACAGCCTGTGTAATATAATTCTCATGCTGTTAAAAAGAAAAGGAAGGAGGGGGACAAGTTCAGAATTCCTTATCAACTTAAGATTATTTTTTGGTAGTACTAGGACTTGAACTCAGAGCCTGTGCTTGTTAGGCAGGTCCCAACTTCAGCTATAGACTGATTATTCAATCTTATAAACCAAGTTTTAAAACCTTTGTTAGTTTTGCACACATATATTTTGTTCCCTAAACATATAAACAAATACAATACTTATTGCCCCCTTGTGCTATTATAACCAAAAACCAGATCAGAAAAAAAAGTATGAATACCTTTGTGAAAGGCATTTTGCCAGTAAGTAAACAAAAAAACAAAATGGCAAATATAAAAGGTGGACCTCTCATAGATGTGGGAAAAGTTAACATCTCTGTTCCTGTGAGACCTGAAGGTGATTCAAGAGAAAGTTATATCCCAGGCTCATTTTTAAATAGACAAGCCTGCAAGGCACCAGTGACTCATACCTGTAATCCTAGCTACTCAGGAGGCTGAGATGTGAGAACTGCAGTTCAAAGCAGCTTGGGCAGGAAAGTCCATAAGACTAAACTAAAAAAAACTACAAAAAAAAAAGCCAGAAGTAGAGCTGTGGCTCAAGGCTAGAGAACTAGCCTTGAGCACAAAACCTCAGAGATAGCACCCAAGCCGAGTTCAAGCTCCAGGATGGATAACAAACAAACAAACAAATAAATACTAGGCAAGCTTGATTTGTTTGGAATCAGATATGGATTCATTCCTATACACATTGAATACAGTTTTAATTTTTCCCTAATATTTCCTATTTTTTGTAAAATCTTAAATTTGCTAAGCAGTTCAGCAAGCTGCAGAAAAATAAATTCTGATGTTGACAAAGGAGAAGAGGGTATTAAAAGGTAAAGCTGAATGCTGATAGCTTACAGTTGTAATCCTAGCTACTTAGAAGGCTGAGAACTGAGGATCACAGTTCAAAGCCAATCTAGGCAGGAAAGTCTGTGAGATTCTTATTTCCAATTAACCACCAAAAACTGGAAGTGGTGCTGTGGCTCAAAGTGGTAGAGTGCTAGACTTGAGCAAAAAGAGCTCAAAGACAGCACGCAGACCCTAAGTTTAAGCCCATGACACCACCACTACCACTAACAACAAAAAGATAATTTCTAGGGATGAGAATCTGAGAGTTTTCTCTTTTATTCTTTGGACTTTTATGCATGGTCTAAAATTTCTAAAATGAATATATATGTATTCCTTTCTCAATCAGAAAAATAAAATAAATAAAATAAAATCAGTCAATCCTCTCAGCATTTTTAATTAAATCTTTTCTGAGGTAGCTATATGCTAGGCTCTCTGTTAGGTACTATAGACAAAACAAGGAATGATCTTTCTTAAGAACATCAGTTCAAGAAAACCATCTCTGCTTTAAGGATAGGGAGTAAAGTAAGGGGAGGCTCATCCTGAGACCATCAATCAAGCCCCACCATCCACATTACTCCATTGTCTTCCAATTTATTCACACAGTGACAGCAGCAGGATTATAACTCAGCAGCTATGGCTTCAGATTCCACAGATATCAATCTTGTGTAATTCTAAAATACACTGGAAACACCTGCCCTTAATTTGCAATGGCATAAATAATGGCAAAGAAGATCAAGAAAATATGTCTCTTTACTATACAGCATACCATATATACAGGGTTAAAATACACAGGCAAAAATGGCTTTTGCCTTTTTTTGTTGTTGGTGGTGGTGGTCATGGGGCTTGAACTCAGGGCCTGGACACTGCCCCTAAGCTCTTTTTGCTCTACCACTTTGAGCCACAGTTCTCACTTCTGGGTTTTGAGTGGTTAACTGGAGATAAGAGTCTCACAGAAAAAAAAAAAAAAAAAAAGAGTCTCACAGAGACCTTTTCTGCCTGGGTTGGCTTCAAACCATGATCCTCAGATCTCAGCCTCCAGAGCAGCAAGGATTACAGGCATAAGTTAGTGGCAACAGGCTGCTTTTGCTTTTATAACAGATAATTCATAGTTAATGCAAATGTCCCAATGAACAGTAGAGTGAGGGGAAGACAGACATTACCATGGCTTTTTGTTTCCTCAGAACATGGGCGATCTGTGGGAGCACTCATTCCCTGCACTGCTGTTTCTGGTTCTGTCTCCTCAGGCAGCCTACTGCTTCCATCCTCCATTTTCTTTTCATGCTCCTCCTTTTCTTTCTCTTCCTCCTCTTCTTCCTCTTCCTCTTCTACTTCAGGCTCATCCTTGGTTTTCATAAGAGCAGGAGGGAGGTCTGGACGCCTGGGGGGCAGCTTCTATAAAAGAAACAAAACTACATCTAGAGTGTCCACACAATGATAAAATGTCTAATCTTTTCCAGGGGGTTAAAATGTGTAGAATTTAACCTCTCTAGGTTAATAACCCCTGCAAAAGTTGTTGCAAGTTGAACTATCACATGGAATTTTGTCCACCTATGGACCCTTAACAAATGTCCAAGGTATTGCGACTGTTAGGCTGGAGCTGCAACTAAGTTGTAGAACACTTGCCTAGCATGTACAAGGCCCAGAGTCTGACCCCTAGCTTGTAGGGAACTAATTTATTCCATGTAAGTAACAGTAGGAATTGTGTCCTGTTGAATCTCTTGATACTAATGGACCTTAATTACAAAATCCCCTAAGAAGTAACATGTATATTCCCAAGAAAGAAATCATTTATATTGCATTCTCTCTTTTCTTGTGTGTGAGTTGTGAGGCTTGAACTTTAGGCCTGGGCACTATCCCTCAGTTCTTCAGCTCAAAGTGAGTGCTCTATCACTTGAGCCACAGCGCCCCTTCCCATTTTCTGGTGGTTAATTGGAAATAAGAGTCTCACAGACTTTTCCTGCCTGGGCTGGCTTTGAACTTCAATCCTCAGATCTCAGCCTCCTCAGTAGCTAGGATTACAGGCGTGAGCCACCAGCGCCCAGCTGCGTTTTTTTTTGTTTTTTTGTGTGTGTGCCAATCTCAGTACTTGAACTCAGGGCCTAGGCACTGTCCCTGAGCCTCTCTGTGCTCAAGGCTGGCGCTCTACCACTTGAGCCATAGCGCCACTTCTGGTTTTTTCTGTTTATGTGGTACTGAGGAATTGAACCCAGGGCTTCATGCATGGTAGGCAAGCATTCTACCACTAAGCCACATTCCCAGCCCAGAATTCTCATTTTTGATAGCATGTTTTCAAGGAAACAACATGTATAAAGTAATAAAACAGCTCCTGAAAAAGGGAAGACATTTCTCAAAGAATAAAGCCATATATGTGTGTATATATATATATATGTATGTATGTATATATGTGTATACATATATATGTATATAGCCACACACACACTCATACACATATATACACACACACATATGGCTGGCCTATTTATTATTATTTTTTGGAACAATGTCTCACTATGTTGCTCAGGCCAGTCTTGAACTTGGCCTCAAGCAATCTTCCTGCCTCAGCTCTCTGCCACCATACCCAGGTCACATATTCTAACCAAAGCCTTTCAATAAAAGTGCTTAGAAGCCAGATGAAAGGTGACTCATGCCTGTAATCTTAGCCATTCTGGGGACTGAGATCTGAGGACTGGGGTTTGAAACCAGCCTAGATAAAAAAAATCTGTACAACTCTTTATTTCTAATTGACTACCAAAAAAACTGGAAGTAGAGCTGTGGCTCAAGTGGTAGAGCCTTGAATAAAAATAACTCAGGTATAGCACCTAAGCCCTGAGTTCAAGCTTCAAGCTCAAGTATAGTGCACGGACACACACACACACACACACATGCACACATGCAAAATGTTCTTAAAGGTGCTAATTGTAGGGTTCATTCCTTTAAAACAAGATAACAGGCAGGAGGATCATGAGTTTGAGGTCATCCTGAACTACCCAGCAAGACAATGCCTCGAAAAAACAATAAAATCCAAAAGCACTTAGGAAAAAAAGGTTCCATTTTCAGAATAGGAAGATATCAAAGTATACTTGGATCTTTTTTTTTTTTTGGTGCTGGTCCTAAGGCTTGAATTTGGGGCCTAGCCCTATCCCTGAGCTTCTATTGCTCAGGGCTAGCATACTACCAGATGAGTCCTAGCCCCATTTCCATCTTTTCTGGTAGTTTACTGGAAATAAGAATCTCACAGAAGCTGGATGCTGGTAGCTCATGCTTGTAATACGAGCTGCTCAGGAGGTTGAGATCTAAGGATTGCAGTTCAAAGCCCACCTGGGCAGAAAAGTCCATGAGACTCTTATCTCCAATTAACCACCAGAAAACTCGAAGTGATGCTGTGGCTCAAAGTGGTAGAGTGCTACACTTGAGCAAAAGATCTCAGGAACAGTGCCCAGGCTCCAGGTTCAAGCCCCATGACTGGCAAAAAAAAAAAAAAAATCTCAGACTTTCCTGTCCTGGCTAGCTTGGAACCACTCTTCACTCTTATCTCCTAATTAGCTTGAATTACAGGCATGAGACACTGGTACCTGACTATAAATTATTTTTTAAAATACAATACTCAAAGTAATTTTCTTCTATTTTAAGCCCCTACTGTCACCCCCCAAAACCTCCATATTAGGTAAGCCACATAATTTACTCAGGTTATATAGGCTAGTTAAGGGCTAGCAATAAACTTTAGTGGTAAAGCGCTTGCATACCATGAGAAAGTACCTGCATTTGATCCCTAGCACAAGAAAACAGAATGTATCACTAAGACTTGAAACCTCTACCACCAGAGGGCAGTTTACAGGTTCATTTCTTTTCTTCACAAATTTGTTTATGGTCCAAATGCCTAGTTCTTCAAATGTAACTGTATTTGGAGATCCTTTCTTTAAGGTGATTAATTTATCATGAGTCATTTAGGGTAGGGTTCTAAATTGGTGTCTTTAGAGAACACACAAGGACACAAATGCACAGTTGGATAATTACATGAAAGACCAGCAATACACAACCATCTGCACGCCAACAAGGAAAGCAATTCTGCCAGGATTATGATCTTGAACTTCTACCATCTTGTCAGAAAACGAATTTCTATGTTTTGTTTTGTTTCTGTCGGTCATGGGGCTTGAACTCTGGGCCTGGGCGCTATCCCTAAGCTCTTCAGCTCAAGGCTACAGCTCTACCACTTAAGCCTCAGCACCATTTCTGGTTTTCTGGTAGTTCATTGGAGATAAGAGTCTCACTTTCTTGCCCAGGCTGGCTTTGAACCATGATCATCAGTTCTCAGCCTCCTGAGTAGCTAGGATTACAGGCGTGAGCCGCTGCTGCCAGTGAATTTCTACGTTTTAAGCCACCCAATCTGTGGTACTTTGTTAAAGTAACTCAGGCAAACATATACAGGGTTCAGTTCTTTGGAGTGACAAAAATCTGTACAAAAAACAAAAACACGTATCAGTGAGGCATTATAGAAAAGTAGAAAAATCATGAAACTCAGGAGACCAAAGACCCACATCTCATTGTCATCTTAAATACATGACTGTACAATTTGGTATTTTCCTAACTAGCTTCTCATTTGTAAGGCATAATATTTCCCACACAGGAAAGATATTGGACAGGCTAAACCAAGTATGGAAAAAAATATATATGGCAGAGGCAAATGCATAAGCTATAGTACTCCATTCCTAAATTCAACATTCATTAAAAATTAATAAAATGATTTTCTAATTTACAAATCAATTACCTGTAAATTTTCATGAATCACTCTGTCAATTCTTGATAACTCTAAACTGAAAAAAAAATCTAATAGCCCAATTCTGGGGAAGATATGATATGACCATACCAAGCTCACAAGAACTTTTCATATCACTATGGAATGAGTCATTTGTACTTTTTTTTAAAATATTACCCCATCACTGAGGAAAAAAAAAAGGAAGGAAGGGGAAAGAGGGAGTAAGAATGACTAGCTCAGGGACAATTCAGCATTTTGATTCACAACTTACCCCTACTGTTCCAGTTTTTAATTTGAATTTGCTTCCTCCTTTCATAGCACCAAAGAGAGGCAATGTAAGCTTCTTAGCTTTGTTTTCCAAACCTGAATTATGTGGTTCAGTCCTAGAATGAAAGAACAATTATACTCATCTCTTCCAGTGAGTCTAAGTTTTCCCTAAAAATACCAAAAGTAACTTTTGACAAAACCAAAAAAAAAAAATACCACAAATTAGGCACCAATGCTTCACCCCAGTAATCTTAGCTACTCAGGATGCTAAGATCTGAAGATTCTGGTTCAAAGCCAGCCAGGGCAGGAAAACTTCATAAGATTCTTATTTCTAATTAACTACAAAAAAAAAAAAAAAACAGAGGAGGGAGGGGGGAGGCTGGGAAGGAATGTGAAGGGTAAACAAAGGAGGAGGCTGCAATGCTTGGTAAGAAATGTACGTATTATCCTGCCCATGTAATTGTAATTCCTCTGTACAGTATGTTCACAAATAAAATTAAATTAAATTAAAAAAAAAACAGAAATGGAGCTATGGCTCAAATGATAGAATGCTGGCCTTGAACAAGAAAGCTCAGGTACAGCACAGGCCCTGAGTTTAAACCCCAGGATTTGCAGTTCAGTTGACAAGATGCAACTTCTTAGATTAGGCTAAAGTGACAACTAGAAGTAGGTAGTGGTGACAATGAAACAGGGCCATGCCGAGACAGAGGAAAGCTTAGAAGATTCAGGCTGGGAATGTGGCTTAGTAGTAGAGTGCTTTCCTAGCATGCATGAAGCCCCAGGTTTGATTCCTCAGTACCACATACACAGAAAAAGCTAGAAGTGGCGCTGTGGCTCAAGTGTTAGAGCATTATTAGCCTTGAGCTGAAAAGCTCACAGACAGCACCCAGGCCCCAAGTTCAAGCCCTATGACCCACAAACAAACAAACAAAAGATTCAGAATGGTCTGGGGGATGGGGGGAACCCTATGCTTCCTCCACATGGACAGACTGACCATTCCAACTCACAGTGACCTGTATCAGATACTTACCACCAAGCCAGGTGCTGAGTGGCTCATGACTGTAATTCTGGTTCCTCAGGAGGCTGGGGTCTGAGATTTGTAGTTTGAAGCCAGCCCACACAGGAAAAGTCTATGAGACCTTTATCTCAACCACACAAAAGGCTGTAAGCAGAACTATGGTTCAAGTAGTACAGCACTAGCCTTGAGTGAAAAAGCTCAGGGACAGAACCCAGGTCCTGAATTGAAGCCCCAGAACTGTCATTTTAAAAAAAGGAAGAAAGGAAAGAAGGAAAGAAGGGAAAGGGAGGGAAGGAGGGAGAAAACTGACTTTCCTGATCCGCCCTGAAGCCACCTTTTACCCGTTTATCCTTGATGGTGTTCTAGGGCCCCACCTCCCTGCCTTTTCTCCTGTCAGAAACCACTACTTTGTTGGTGTTGTTGTTTTGACAGTCGTGGAGCTTGAACTCTGGGCTTGGATGCTGTCCCTCAGCTCTTCAGCTCAAGGTGAGTTCTCTACTGCTTGAGCCATAGCACCACTTCCGGTTTTCTAGTGGTTTATTGCAGATACGAGTCTCATGGATTTTCTTGCCCAGGCTTTGATCTCAGATTTCAACCTCCTGAGTAGCTAGGATTACAGGCGTGAGCCACTGGCACCTGGCAGAAACCACTACTTTGTTAAGGCTACCAAAATATCCTCCTCCAAATCATGAACCTTCACACCAATCCTCAGGCCTCAGGAAGGCTTTGGCACCAACACAGATATTTTTCAGCGTACTAAATTCTGATATTTAACAGCAACATTAAACAGATGGGAGTGGCCTAGAGGATATGCAAAAATTTGCCCAAAGGAGGTGACAATTCTTAACAAGAAAAGAAAAAAACATGTGTTGAGGGTGCCATAATCCATGATAAGAATCAATCCTGTTCATAAATTATGAAGAAAGCAAAACTTATACTAGTTTTATGATTGTACTTCAAACTGCAAATGCTAAAGCTACAGTGCATATAAAACCTATGGTACAAGTTTTATATATTGCATGTAAAAGCTATGGCATAGGTTTTATAGACAGGATGCAGGGCATAATACATGCTTGCTGACAATCTAGAGGGCTGCCTAACCAAATTTTCTGCAACAATGGAGATTCTTTTTTAAATCTTCTACATTGCACTATCCAATATAATAGACACCAGCCCCATGCGGCTGTTGAGCACTTGAAATGTGGCTATTGCAACTAAAGATGTAAATTTTTAATTTCACTGAAAGAAGCTTTCATTGTAATAGCACATAGATACTGAGTGCAGTATATACTAGGCAGTGCAGACCAAAAGAGAACAAGAAATATCCTGCAGCTAACCATCTTTTAAGTGAATAAATCCATTTTTCTCTTGGTTCTGTTAGTCTTTATATATTGGAAAAATTGGGCTTGGTACAGTTACTCTTTTTTTATTGTGTATTTTTGTTTTGTTTTGTCAGTCCCTGAGCTTCTTTTGCTCAAGGATAGCACTCTACCACTTGAACCACAGTGCCACTTCTTGTTTTTTCTGAGGAATGAAATCCAGGGCTTCATCATCCTAGGCAAGCACTCTACCACTAAGCCACATTCCCAGCCCCACATTTGCTTTTCAAGAAGTTTATTATACACTAAAAGATTAAGTTAAAAGCAAAAGTCATAGTCTTGCAATGCACCATAGCTTCCTCTAAAAACACTCCAGGCAATTTACATTCACAAATGAAAGCAGTTTTCAGTGTTTCTATGAAAGTGGCTTCTGTGCTTTCAAGGATTTCTGTGCTGGGGAAGGAAATGGCTCAGTGATAAAGTGCTGGACTATTATGTCTGAGGCCCTGGGTTTGATCCCTATTACTGCAAAAAAACAAAACAAAAAACATCTGTTGTTTATATTTCTATTTTATAATTGTTATCCAAGTAGATTAAAGGATAAGTCAAAGTATTACATCTGTTATTATGCTTATTTTAAATTCCAAATTAACTACTTACTTCTTTAGCTCTGGAATCTCTGCTGGCTTTACAATTTTTATTAACCCTTTAAGTCTCTGTTGTTCTTTTCTTAGTTCAAAAGTTCTCAGGTGAAGTTTCTTCCGGGACACACCATCTAACGCACTACCTGATTTCATTTCTGACATGAATGCATCTAAAGAATCTTGAGAAGGTGACTCTGACAAAGCTGTTGAAGGAAAGGAAAACAAGACTTGTTTAAAAAGATGGCCCCCAGGGTTGGGACTATGGCTTAGTGGTAAGAGTGTCTGCCTAGCATGCATGAAGCCTTGGGTTCGGTTCCTCAGTACCACATAAACAGGAAATGGCGCTGTGGCTCAAGTGGTAGAGCACTATCCTTGAGCAAAAGAAGCTCAGAGACAGTGCCCAGGCCCTGAGTTCAAGATCCAAAGCTGGCAAATAAATAAATAAATAAAATGTTGAAATTTCAGCCAAAGTTTCCACAGAGAAGTCACTAACAGAAAGCTGGATATCTCTGGTATTGAGAGTAAAAAAAAACAAAACAAAAAGAAAACCATCATGTTATAGTTGTGAAACCTGGAGAAGGATTTTGTCTGACTGGGTTCATTCCCTTCAACTATTATGGGATGAGGTTAACCCAAATGATATAGAATGTTCTTTCTAGCTCTAAAATTCAACAGCAAATGTAGCCCCAGGACTAAGCACATTATCATTACAAGTGTTCAAGAAATATTTTATGACAGGCTTACCTTTGCTTGAGGCCTTGAGTCTCTCAGAAATTTCAGAGAGCTCCTTTTCAGCATCATTTAACTTTGCAACCTATAAAAGCAAAATTGACAATGTTAGTTTTTCTTCTTCCAAATTATGTTTATCATCTTCCTTTTTTTACTTATTATTGTAAATTTTGAAAGCCGGGCGCTGGTGGCTCACGCCTGTAATCCTAGCTACTCAGGAGGCTGAGATCTGAGGATCGCGGTTCAAAGCCAGCCTGGGCAGGAGAGACCATGAGACTCCTATCTCCAATAAACCACCAGAAAACCGGAAGTGGTGCTGTAGTTCAAGTGGTAGAGCGCTTGCCTTGAGCTGAAGAGCTGAGGGACAGCGTCCAGGCCCAGAGTTCGAGCCCCACGACCGACAAAAAAAAAAAAAAAACTTATTATTGTAAATTTTGAGAGAATTGAGAAATCCAGCTAAATCTGATCATTATGTAGTTAATAAATATTTATGTTTATTCCAGCTGAATTTCTAAATTACAGAACTGAGATTAAACAGAATAAGTAACTCAACGTTTTACTCAAAAGAAAGTGTTCAAGATACTTTTTTCATTGACGATAAATAAATGAATACTGTATAATGGTTTAATCTCTCAACATGATTAATGTTAAATGCATGCAATCTTAGGATAATTCTAGGAAGGCTATCCCATTGCAGATTAATATCAAACTATTCTAAAATTCTTTTGATTCCTCTTGACTGTCAAAGTCCTAAACTCAATTTCACCTGTGATGCCCTAACTCGGACCCTTTTCTTTTCCTTTTTAGGAGTATGTTTACTTATTTATTTTTTTTGTTGGCTGTGAGGCTTGAACTATGGGCTTGGGTGCTGTCCCTGTGCTCTTCGGCTCAAGGCGAGTGCTCTACCACTAGAGCCACAGAACCATTTCCAGTTTTCTAGTGGTTTATGGGAGATAGGAGTCTCTCACCAACTTTTCTGCCTGGGCTGGCTTTGAACTGTGATCCTCAAATCTCAGCCTCCTGAGTAGCTGGGATTACAAGTGTGAGCCACCAGCGCCTGGCAAGAGTATGTTTATTAATGAGTCAATACCAACCTGGAGGAACATTTCTAGCAGAAAGACAATTTTTTCCCCAATAACTTGGATAAAACTGGTTGTTCGTTAGCATTACATTTACACTTCACAAAAATTGTATGTCAGGACCAGATTTCCATCCTTTAAAAACTGGAACTATCAGCCGGGCACCAAGGGCTCATACTTGTAATCCTAGCTACTCAGAAGGGCGAGATCTGAAGATCTGGGCTTGAAACAAGCCCAGGCTGAAAAATCTATGAGACTCTTATCTCCAAATAACCAACACAAAGCCAAGAGTCTAGGCTTGGCTCAAGTAACAGAGTGCCAGACATAAATGAAAAACCAAGCAAGAGCACAAGGCCCAGAGTTCAACTCCCAGTTATTGGCATCAAAAACAAGTTAACTATCATAAAATACATTTAAATAATAAACTGTATTGTTTTTTTTTAATAAACAACCACAAGTACTTCTATAAACTTGCCAGTGATTCGAAGGTCTCTGGCTTCTCATCGATCTTCCCAGCCTTTTTCATTCGGTTCAGACGCTTCTTCTCCACCAGGCCAGTTCTATCAAGGAATGTGTCATCATCACTATCATAAAAATCTTCATCTTCCCAGTTCTTGGCTTTCCTTTTCCGAGATACTAGATATAAGGCAGATTGATAATTAGACTTTTTTAAAAGTGAAAAGAAAGAAGGAAATTAAGCAAGCAGCTTAATAAAGGATTCCACAAGCTGCCAATCCACATATGAAAACAAAGTAAACCCAGCACTCAGGAGAATGAGGCAGGAAGACCCAAAGTTCAAGGCCAGCCTGGGCTATATAACAAGATTCTGGCTCAAATAAATAAAACAAAACCCAGACAGCTAAACCTTGAAAGCATTATACAAAGTGAAGAAAAGTCAGACATAAAAGGATATGTATCTCATTATTCTATTTATATGAAACATCTACAGTAGTCAAATTTGTAGATAGAAAAGTAGAATGGCAGTTGGTTCAGCTTCAGTATGGAATAATGGATAGTTCTGAGATGGACAGTGATGATGGCTGTACAGCAATGTGAATATACGCAGTAAACACTTCAAGTGGTACAACAAAAAAAGGAATAGTTAAGTGAGCAAAAGGCTCTTAAAAATCAATGAGTAGGGCTGGAATGTGGCTTAGTGGTACAGTGCTTGCCTAGCATGCATGAAACCCTGGATTCAATTCCTTAGTATCACATAATCAGAAAAGGTCACAAGTGGCACTGTGGCTCAAGTGGTAGAGTGCTATCCTTGAGCAAAAGCTCAGGGACAGTACCTAGGCCCTGAGTTCAAGCCCCAGGATTGGCAGGAAAAAAAAAAAATCAACGAGTGGCTGAGTATCAGTAGCTCATGCTTGTAATCCTCATCAGAAGGCTGAGCTCTAAGGATCATGGTTCAAAGCTAGTCAGAGCAGAAAAGTTCAGAAGACTCTTTTGTTGTTGTTGCTGGTGGTGGTGATGGTGGTAGTGATGGTGGTGAGAGGGCTTGAACTCAGGGGCTTGACTTTGTCCCTGAGCATTTAGTTCAAAGCTAGTGCTCTACCACTCAGAGACACAGCATCACTTCCCATTTTCTGTGGTTAATTGGAGATGAGTCTCACATACTTTGCTGCCCAGACTGGCTTTGAACTGTGATTCTCAGCTCTCAGTCTCTTGATTAGGTAGTATTACAGGAGTGAGCCACTAGCACCTAGCCCATGAGACTCTTATCTCCAATTAAGCATTAAAAAAATCCAAAAACCAAAAACCTGGACAGCGCCCAGGCCCAGAGTTCAGGCCCCACGACTGGACCCCCCTCCCCCCCCCAAAAAAAAGGACAAATCTTAATAGTTAGCAGCATTAAGTAAAAGGAATATGGTATATGCCTGTGATCTCAGCAACAATGGGAAGCCTAAAAATAGGCGGATGATAGCTAAGGCACATGCCTGGGCAAGATGAGTGATTCTATCTTTAACTAGTGTGAAACAGGTCTAGATGCAAAGCTTAGTAGTAATGTCCAGGCCTAGCAAGCATAGGGCCCAGAGTACTCTCAGTACTGGGGGGGGGGGGGGGAGGGAATCACTAGATTAGAAATAAACTAAGATTTATAATTTAAAAGCCCATACAAACATAAGCATATCATATAATAATATATACTAATAGCATTAATGGGTGTATAAAACAAGACCCTGAGGTCAAATCTCAGTACTACAAGTTGGACCCAGTGGTATACTCATGTAATCCTAATACTTGGAAAATGTGACAGGAGGACCACAAGCTCAAGGTCAGCATTGATTATATACTGAGTTTCAGGCCAGCCTGAGCTCATAGCAAGACCTCTCTAAAAGGAGAAGAAGAGGGGAGGGAAGGGAAGGAATGGTTGGCCTAAGAGTATAGCTCAAGTGGTAGAGTATTTATGTAGCATACACAAATTCAATCATCAGTATTGACAAAAAATAAAAAAAGACTCACAAAAAAGCCTAAGTAATATGACTGCATTTGTGTATCTTTTAAAATATATATATAGATAGATATAGATATCTTTTTTTTTTTCAATACTAGGAATTGAACTCAGGGCTTCAGGCATGCTACGTAAGTACTTTATCACTAAGTTACACCTCCTGATCCTTAGAATCTGGTTCTAAACACACATATATATATATATAGAGAGAGAGCCAGGCACTAGTGGCTCATGCCTATAATCTAACTACTCAGGAGGCTGAGATCTGAGGATCTAAAGCCAGCCTGAGCAAGAAAGTCCATGACTTTCACCTCCAATAAACTACCAAAAAAGCCAGAAGTGGAGCTGTGGCTAGACTTGTGGAAGAGTAGTAGAGTGGTGAGTGCTAGCTTTGAACAAAAGCAGCTTAGCAGAGGCTGTATCCAAGCCCTGAGTTCAACACACACACACACACACAATATATATATATTATATACATATAATATATATATACACATATATATATATATATCATACACAAATACACACACACACACATATATATATACACACACACACAGACACAAATGTGTGTGTGTGTATAGAGAATGTTTGGGAAAATATAAACAGCAGCTACTTTGGGTTTTGAAATAGAGAATTTTGATTTTCACTTTAAAAAATTCTATAAAGCTCATATAATCCCCCCTGTAAAGATACTATATTACTACTTCTTTTTTTCCCCCCCCCCAGTCCTGGGGATTGAACTCTTGGCCTGGGCACTGTCTCTGAGCTTCTTTTGCTCAAGGCAAGCACTCTACCATTAAGCCACATTCCCAGTCATTTTATTACTTCCTGCATTATTTTCCTTCCTTCTTAACTCTCATACACAGACCTGCTTCCTGCCGCAGCAATCCCAGAGTATCGAGGATCCGACAAGCCTCCAGTGAGCACTGGATCATCGCTTCTTTTTTCTTTCCTGAGTGAATGGCCTCAGCCACCAGCTGCTTCCCCGTTGAATCATCCACAGGTAATCTGCATAGTTAGAAGAAATTATAGCACAGCAGTAAGTTCCAACTAATATGCTGTGATGAAGTTCATGGTTTCCTAGATGGCTTTTCAACCTCTCAATTTACTCAATTCTATCTTACCAAGGCTGTTCTTCATTTCCTTCCACCTCGAACACTGTGTTATTAAACCATCAAGGTCCAAGTCTAGGAACAGCCTAAAACTAAGACTAAAGTTACTCTGTAGACTGTTGTCTTCAACCATAAGTTAATCTGAAATTGGTCACTTTGCTGATAAGAACATTAATAAGAAAAGCACATACCTCACTCTACAGAGCCAAGTACTATGTCCCTGTTCATCAAATTCATATTCTAATTCTTCTCCTGTGGGAAGAAGACAAAAAACAGTTTTAATAGGATCTGAAAATTATTAATTGTTTACATGAGAAAAGAGCAAAAGTTAAATAAGGACATCACATTTCCATACCACAATAAATTCTAAATTCCAATATAAACACTGTATTTCACTTACTCCTAGGGATTATCATCTGAAATAAGAGTAGGGGGCTGGGAAGGTGGCTTAGTGGTAGAGCGCTTGCCTTGCATGCTTGAGGCCCTGGGTTCAATTCCTCAGCACCACATAAGCAAAAAAGAAAAAAACAGAAGTGGCGCTGTGGCTCAGGTGGTAGAGTGCTAGCCTTGAGCTGAAGAGCTGAGGGACAGCGCCCAGGCCCAGAGTTCAGGCCCCACCACCGGAGAAAAAAAAAAAAAAAAAAGAGGATGAGGCTGGGAAGGTGGCTCAGTGGTAGAGCGCTTGCCTTGCATGCCTGAGGCCCTGGGTTTGATTCCTCAACACCACATAAACAAAAAGAAAAAAGCTGGAAGTGGCACTGTGGCTCAAGTGGTAGAGCACTAGCCTTGAGCTGAAGAGCTGAGGGACAGCACCCAGGCCCAGAGTTCAGGCCTCACGACCGGACCCCCACCCCCCCCTCAAAAAAAAAGAAAAGAGTAGGAGACTTTGACACAAAGAAAATCTCAGATCATGAGCAGGGCGCAGGAGCCTCATGCCTGTAATCCTAGCTACTGAGGAGGCTGAGATCTGAGGATCACGGTTCAAAGCCAGCCCAGGCAAGGAAACTCTGAGACTCTTATCTCCAATAAACTACCAGAAAACCAGAACTGGAGCTGTAGCTCAAAGTGGTAGACCACTCGCCTTGAGCTGAAGAGCGCAGGGACAGCACCCAATCCCAGAGTTCAAGCCCCACAACCGACAAAAAAAAAGAAAAAGAAAATCTCAGATCAAAGCAACCAACTTCTGAGGGAAGGGTGCAGCTCAGAGGGAGAAGGCATACTTAGCTCACATAAAGCCTTTGATGTGGCTTAGCACTGCAAAAACTGAGAAGGAAGATAGAAGATACAATACAGTATTTCTCAGCATGAAGCTTAACCTAAAGCTCTATAAACAACTCCACTATGGGTACATTTTACCATAAGATTGGAAACTTACATACCTTCCCGATCAAAGAAACCTTGGAGAGCCTTCTTTGGATCTTTTATATAGAAAGCCTCCCTTTCCTGCTGAAACTCTAAGACAATCGGGTTCTCTTCAGCCTCATCCTCTACAGCATCTTCTCCTGCAAGATGTAAGAAAGGATGGAAAAAATGGACGTGTGAAGAGGACATCTGAATGATACCATTTTTAGGTTGCGTATAGACATCCGAACTATACACAGTAGTGCTGCCTGTAATCCTTGAACTACAGAGGTAGGATTGTGAGTTAAAGGTCAGTTTGGGCTACATAGATAGATGCTGTCTCAAAAATAAACAAATAAAGCCAGGTACCAGTGGTTCACACCTGTAATCCTAGCTGCTAAGGAGATTGAGATCTGAGGATCACAGTTCAAAGCTAGCCTGGGTAGAGAAATCTGTGAAATGCTTATCTTCAATTAATACCAGAAAACTAAAAGTGATGCTGTGGCTCAAAGTGGTAAAGTGCTAGCTTTGACCAAAAAGCTCAGGGACAGTGCCCAGAACTTGAGTTCAAGCTTCACAACTGATAAAAAAAAAAGGGAATATATGATATATAAATTGTTATTATATAGATATAATAGTGAGAAAAAAATTCCTTTTTGTGCCAGTCCTGGGGCCTGAACTCAGAGCCTGAGTACTATGCCTGACATTTTTTGCTCAAGGCTATCATTCTACCACTTCTGGTAGAAAAAGTCTCTTAGACTTTTCTGTCATAGCTGGCTTTGAACTGCAACCCTCAAATCTCAGCCTTCTGAGTAGCTAAGATTATAGGCATGAGCCACCAGTGCCACTCCCTGAGTACATATTTTTAAAGGGATATAGTTTTATGTGATGAAAAGGAAGATAGTTGGGGGTAGAGGATGAAACAGCCATAAAACCATCACTATGGGCACCTTCAAGTTTTATACATTATATACAAATCAAAACCGGTTTCCATGGCTTGCTCTCTCTCTCTCTCTCTCTCTCTCTCTCTCTCTCTCTCTCTCTCTCGTCATTTTAAGGCTTGAACTCAGGGCCAATCTGCAGCATGCCATCCCTGAGCTCTTTTGCTCAAGGTTAGTGCTCTACCACTTTGAGCCACAGCTCTACTTCTGCTTTTGAGTGGTTAATTGGAGATAACAGTCTCTAGGGGACTTTTCTGCCTGGGCTGGCTTTGAACTTCAATCCTCAGATCTCAGCATCCTGAGTAGCCAGGATTACAGGTGTGAGGACTGGCAACAGACTCCATGGCATTCTTTTCTCATAACTTATTACAATGGCAGAATTCACCTAGTACATTCTGAAAAAAGAAATCTGAGCTCTTCTGCCTGGAGTTCTCTCTCTCTCTCTCTCTCTGTCAGTCATGGGGCTTAAACTTTAAACTCTGGGCCTAGGCACTGTCCCTCAGCTTTTCAGCTCAGGCTAGCGCTCTACCACTTAAGCCACAGTGCCACTTCCAGTTTTCTGGTGGTTTATTGGAGATGAGCCTCACAGACTTTCTTGCCCAAATTGGTTTTGAACAACTATCCTCAGATCTCAGCCTCTTGAGTAGCTAGGATTACAGGTGTGAGCCACCAGTGCCAGCAGGATTCTCTCTTACACTCAAACTCACCTCTAATACCTTTTCATCAATATAATATCCTAGAACTGCTCCTAACTGCCAAACAGAATGGTAAACTCATTACTACCTTAAAACCATCAGTCCCTACCCAGAACACCAATTCCAATATGCAGCTTTATCAGGGCTATTTTTCTTTTCCTTCAAGTTCCAGTTCAAAATTCTTCTGCTTATAAACTTATAAAGTGTCCCGAAGATCTAAGCCAGTGCTTTCCAAGAGAAATATAATGAAGGCCATACATAGGACTGGAGGTGTGGCTCAAATGGTAGAACACCTGCCTAGGAAGCATGAGATCCAGAGTTTAAACTCCAGTATAGAAAGAAAGAAGGGGAAAGGAGGGGAGAAAAGGGAGGAAGAAAGGGAGGAGGAAAGGAGGAAAGAGGGGGTAGGGGAGTAGAGTAGAAGTCAGGGGAGGGGCGGGGAGAAAGGAAGGGCAAACATTCAAGCTTAACTTTTTTTTTTGTTGTCAGTTGTGGGGCCTGAACTCTGGGCCTCATGCATGCAAGGCAAGCACTCTACCACTGAGCCACCCTCCCAGCCCACCAAGCTGAAATTTCTATAAGTTACATTAAAAAAGAATAAAGTGAAATTATTGTCATTTAAACTTAAGTGTAACCAATACAAAGAATATAAGAGAATACCCTGGATTGAATAACATTTCATTTTACTTGATTGAATGTCATTTCATTCCCTTTAGTGATAATTATAAAGCATGAGATTGGTACTTAAGAAATATTAGTTAAATCGTAAAAACTAAATAAATTGTCTTCTTAAGAAAAGACTTGAATAATAAACTGTATTCAAAATGTATTTAAAATACCCATCATAGGGGCTGGGAAGGTGACTCAGTGGTAGAGCACTTGCCTTGCATGCATGAAGCCCTGGGTTCGATTCCTCAGCACCACATAAGCAAAAAAAGCTGGAAGTGGGGCTATGGCTCAAGTGTTAGAGCACTAGCCTTGAGCTGAAGAGCTGAGGGACAGCACCCAGACCCAGAGTTCACACCCCACAACCGCCAAAAAATAAAAGAAATTTAAGCTTGAATGTTTTCCCTTCCTTTCTCCCTTCCCCTCCCCTACCTACTCCTCTCCTCCCCTCCCTTCTTCTCTCCCTCCCTCCCGCCTCCCTTCATTTCTCTCTTTTCTCAACACCCAGGCCCAGAGTTCAGACCCCATGACGACAAAAAAAAAAAAAAAAGGGCTGGGAAAGTGGCTCAGTGGTAGAGTGCTTGCCTTGCATGCATGAGGCCCTGGGTTCAATTCCTCAGCACCACATAAGCAAAAAGAAAAAAAGC